TGTTCTTAAGGGGAGGTATCATGTGCTGGATGTGGTGGGGATCATTTGCGGGTCAGGGGTGGTATCAGTTGCGGGCCCAGGGGGTAGGTACATGTTGCGGCCTGTGGTGGGTATCATGTTGCTGGCATGTGTAGGTATCATGTTGCTGGTCAGTGGAGGTATCATTTTGTTGGCCAGGGGTAGGTACATGGTGCTGGCCATGTGGTAGGTACATTTTGCGGCCAGTGGTAGTATCATGTTGCGGTCTGGGTAGGTATCGGGGGTAAGTGGTGGTATATGTTGTTGGCCCATTTGTAGGTTTAAAAGGTGCTGGCCATGTGGTAGGTATCATTTGCGGCCATGGGTAGGTATCTGTTGCTGGTATGTGGTTGATCATGTTGCGGGCCCATGGGGTGGTATCATGTTGCGGCCAGTGGAGGATCATGGCGGCCAGTAAAGGGTACATTTTTTCGGGCCGTGGGGGTATCTTTTGCTGGCCATGTGGTAGGTTCATGTTTGGTATGTGGTAGGTTCAGTTGCGGCATGTGGTAGGTATCATTTTGTTTGGCCTTTTGGTGGGTTTCGGGTGCGGGCCATGTGGTAGGTAAATGTTGCGGGCCCTTGGTAGGGTACTTTTGCGGCGGGGTAGTATCATGTTGCTGGCCATGTGGTGGTATCAGTTGCGGGCCATGGTAGGTATCATGTTCGGTCAGGGGTGGATCTGTTGCGGCCATGTCGTAGGTATCAGTTGTGGCCTGTGGTAGGTATCAGTTGCTGGTCATGGGTAGGTTCATGTTGCTGGACATGTGGTAGGTACATGTTCTGGCCTGTGGTGGGTACAGCTGTGGCCATGTGATTATCATGTTGCGGCCAGGGTTTAGGTTTTTGGCTGAGTGGTGGGTACATGTTGCGGCCATGTGGAAATATCTGTTCGGGCCATGGGGCAGGTATCATTTTTGCGGGGCCCAGTATATATCATGTTCTGGCCATTTTGGTGGGTATCATGTTGGGCCATGTATAGTATCGTTGCTAGCCATTTTTAGGTTCATGCCGGGCCCATGGGTGGTATCATTTTGCTGGACATGTGGTAGGTATCATGCTGCTGGCCAGAAGGGTACATTTTTGCTGCCGGGGGTGGTTCATTTTTCTGGCCATTGTAGGTACATGTGCGGGCCCCATTGAGGTACATGCTGCTGGCCATTGCATTTTTCATGTTGCGGGCCATGTGGTAGGTATATATTGCTGGCCATGTGTAGGTGTCTTTGTTGCGGCCAGTGGAGGTATCATGATGCTGGCCCGTGTAGGTATCGTTGCTGGCCATGTGGTAGGTACATGCTGGGGCCATGTTAGGTTAGTTGCGGCCTGTGGTAGTTTTAAATGTTGTGGCCATGTGTTGGGGTATCATGCTGCTGGCCATGTGGTGGGTATCATGTTGCTGGTTATGTGGTAGGTATCATGTTGCTGGCCATGTGGTAGGTATCATGTTGCTGGTCATGTGGTATGTATCATGTTGCTGGCCATGTGGTAGGTATCATGTTGCTGGCCATGTGGTAGGTATCATGTTGCTGGCCATGTGGTAGGTATCATGTTGCTGGCCATGTGGTAGGTATCATGCTGCTGGCCATGTGGTAGGTATCATGTTGCTGGTCATGTGGTAGGAATCATGTTCCCCTGGCCATGGTGGTAGGTATCATGTTGCGGCCATGTGGTAGGTATCATGTTGCTGGTCATGTGGTAGGTATCATTTTTGTT